AGCCGTCAGTTTTAAATTTTCTTCTCGTACGCGGAAAAATCTACCGTTTCTTTTATAAGTTTCTGATTTTACGAGGCTGTCGATCGAGGTCATAGAGTATGCGAGGTTTCAAAATAACTACTGTGGAATCCCAATTTCTCGAGCCCTCATTTCTTCGAACTTTCCGATAAATCGAACCAAAAGTCGTTTCCCTCTCCTTAGTCGAACACTGTAATTTTACCCCTGATTTCTCGAAATATCCGATTTTTCGAACCAATTTTTTGGAAAACAAACAGACTGACATTTCTTTGAATTTTTATATCCTCTGCCTTACACGAAGGTTAATTTTTTTTAGATACAATTTTCATAAATGCATACATGGGAACAAAAATCTTAAAATTACAATTGATTCGATGTCATGTATTAGGCACACGTTTCTGTGGATTTCTATGACATCACCACGTTGTTGTAAAAATATATTTTTTATAGCATTGCAAGCACAATGAAAGCTATATTATGGAAGGTCTCAAACGATATAGTAAACTTGAAAGGAACAACCTTCTTTTTCTGGTCAGCCCTTTAAATGGTCTATGTCTCAATCACACTTTGTTCCGCAAACTCAGTGACCTATGTACAATTTTGTCTTTTGTTGGATCCTAAAACAATCCTTGCGTCCATTCAACTTTCCCAAGTCAAATTAAAAGGTTACTACCGACTTTTTGTACCATGCCAGGCCCAGTTGAAAAACTTCGGGAAAACCAATTAACGCAAAAAGTGCGTTAATTGGTGGCTCAGGCAAGTTAACTGTAAAAAGACAAAGGTCTGGGGACCTTTTTTTACCAGAGAAAAGATTCAAACACCGAAACCTAAAAAAGAGGAGAAGATAGACTGGAAAAAAATAGAAAATGTCTGGCAGGAAAAAGAAAGAAAATAAAAACAATAGCGAACAGTCTTGCGAGGGATTCCCGTAAAGAATAACTCCGTTCACCGCTAGAACGTGAATGAGAGGAACTCTCTTGTCTGAATGCAGGGTGTAGGAAATTCTTTGGCTTTATTTCAGATTTAGAACAGTGCAGCGTTTTGTTTCGCAAGGGATATGATATCACTCGACACAAAACATAAAAAATGAATGAGGGCAGAATTGATAGAGGGAGACGAAAACAGACGAAAGAAAGAATGGAATCAACACACACTAATTTCCCGTAAACATAAAACCACATATTTATTGAATTTTTTAGCCGCTTTCTATAATATAATGAAACGTGTCAAATGTCACATTTTTAACTTTGGTTAAAATTGACATGCATGAAAAATTGCTCTTCTACTTAGCTATTTCTTTTTTAAAGTGAATTGCATACATTGAATTATGTCTTGTCTACCACAGTAACATGCACCTAAATAACCCAAAAAAACCCTTAATTAAGTATGCATTGGAAAACTGACCTTTATATCAAACTTAACGAGGACTGAACTTTTAACGAACGAAAATGTTTCCGTGTGGATTAGCCACACCTTTTAACTGATTTGCTTGGTTTCTTCCACATGGATCATGGGTAGGGTAATAATATTGTGTGCTACCATCAAAGAAATAGTAGTAGCTGCTTGCTTGGAGGACCGGTCCGGTGTACAGTGAACGAAATGATGTTGGCACCACTCCAGCACACTGATTAGAAACCTGTTTAACCAGTTTACAAGTGATTGACCCCGTCTTCTGTTGCACCAAGTTGCCAGTGCCATTCTTGCATGCGATCCAGTTGTTGATGTTGCTCTTGATCAGGAATTCTTTGCCAATGGTGCGCCACAAAGAAAAGTTCATGGCCTGGTAATCTGTCTCATTCAAAGGAACTGTTGTAGACAATCGAGTGTTAGCAAAATAACCTAGCCAGCTTGGACGCGGCGTGACAGCGTTTGAGCTACTCGTGAAACTGTAGTAAGCTGTAAAGGTGTAGCTCCAAACTAGTGTCCAGCCCCCACCGTCCGTCTGTTGGTCGCAGTAGGCCTGGAATGCATTACCATGGGAACCACCATCTGGATCTATCCAATAGACGTCTGACGCGAGTGATGGCGCTTTGTGTTTCAAGTCCTTGCAATTCAAAGCTGGGTTTGCTTTGCCTTGTCCTGTATTCAAAGTCGATAAGAAAAAAAATCAAGAACTAAACACTTACTTCTTAGGGTGCGTTCCTTTGGGATGATCTGGATCAGGATCAGTGATCTTAGATTTGTCTGGATCATGGCGCATCAAAGGAACCGATGAATCCACTCTGGTCATTGATTCATCGATTCCTTTGATGCACCGTGATCCAGACAGATCTAGAATCACTAATCCTGATCCAGATCACCCCCAAAGGAACGCACCCTTAATTTTACAGGATTTCCGTGGCAAACTGGATCTTTTACAAGCACTGTTGTCAACATACTGCAACATTCCCAAAACTGTTTTCCGCCTCCTCAAAATGCGCGTACGACGAAAATAAGCCCTTCCGGTATATCGCCAAGATTTCAGACAAAAAAGGACTCGGAAATTAAGGATTAGGGCTTCCTGCAGGTGACCCAAGGAAAAAACCGTGCAATAATAACCTCATGGCTTATTTAATCATAACTTAACAGTATATACATTCTCCTCAGTAAACAATATGAAACGATCATTTCAAGAGTAAGTTGCTTGCATTGGAAGATCACATACATGCCATGAAAAGAGTTTTATCAATGAATTACCTATTGTACTCGGTCGGTAACTCGATTCTGCAAGGTGAAAAGATCCATTGATCAGTCGCTTGATGATCTCGTTCTTGCAGAGTAGTGCAAACTTGTAAAGGTAAAGGTCGCCTTTTTCATCGATGTCCAACACACACATTCTGTTCCTCTTCTGCTCCTGACCCCTGATGGTTTTAAAGGACAATCTAGTATGATGTAATAATAGTTCCTCTTTCGGCTTCAAGCGATTTTGAGAGTATATACAACTGAAAGAAAGATGCTGGGCTGAAAAACCGAGTTTTATAGAACAATGAAATTCCTTTAAAAAGGTAAGACTTGGGAAGTCAGCACCTTAATACTGCTACGACTGCTGTTATGATTCTTAAAAGTGGCGGCTTTGAAATAAAATATAATATCAAGTATTTTTAAAACGTTTTACCTTCGGAAGTGACAGATGGGGTAGAGAATTAAAGGCTAAAGGTTAAAAATTAAACATTTTAAAACCTAGCTCAAGAACTGAATTCGAGTCTACTACAAAAGTAGTCTATAGCAGAACGGAACCTTAACCCACTGTCGATATCGAAGTTTTCGTTTCCAGAGAACGTTATGTATTTGTTTGTTGGAGTTGTCCAGTAAAGGGGTTAAAATGAGAACGATTCACGAAAATCGCATTTTAAACGATTTAGATAATTATATAGTTATCTGATTTATCTTACCTCGGTGTTAAAGCACTGCTGGAGAGTAAAACCAAAGCGAAACTAACGTGGAAGAACATTTTGGAGGTGCGTTGAAGCAGTAAAACTTCAAGAAGTTCCGTTGATTGACTCAACACAAAAAGTCTATGCTCAGTACAGATGATAAATTAAAAAAGGAAGAAAGTATGAAATTTAAGATACAAACTAAAACAAAACACAGAACAGAAAATTAAAACGGAAGAAGCCAGACATGGCTTGTTCAATACTTACTGCTCTTCGTTCAAAGCGTTATGGGCCTCTTGATGAAGAGCCGCTTAATCGTATGTGTGTCATGGTTTGTTTAGTACTCGTCGATATTGGATTTATCCAATGGAATATCAGTTCTTTATTAATTATAATTAGTGTTAATGGGCATGGCACGTTTTGTTTTCTTAGCAAAGCACAATTGATTAAAACTGCTTTTAAGTTTGATTCAACCTGAATTAACAAAACTGTCAAAGCAGAATTCAGTTCCAATTAGCAGGGATTTTATAGCTTTATTATTTAAAAAAAATTGTAGACAGTTTTTTTTCGTAGAGGCTAGACGAAATTTTCTAACAAATGTTTATTTTTTGTAGAATTGCGCAAAACATGAACGTTTGTTGAAGATCGATTTAGAGGGAAAAAATTAAATGATATTTGCCCCTCGTGGAAAACTGAGCTGTGATAACTTTGTCAATAAATAAAATAAACTCTCAAAACTTTTTAATTTGACGGCTGTGAGAACATGATGCCTGTGCAAGTGTATACATCTAGATTAACCATGTATAAATACTTTTAACGATGCGTTTAAATGTTTGTAAATCTGACTTTGTGTATTTCTGAACTCCACCTCCCTCCCCCTTCCCCCCCCCCCCCC